GGGGAATTCTGGGAGTTGAAGTCCACATATCTTAAAGTTGCAAAGGTTGAGGAACACTGCATTATAGGATCGCCCAAAAAAGTGATGGAAGGCACTGACATGCCATTTTATCTAAATCTTTTATCTGAAGCCATTTCTAGCCCTCCATTCTCATCTTACCTTTTTCTCCTTTTTCTCCTTTTTCTTTTTCTTGTCTTTCTTGTCTCCAACTTTATGGTCTTTATGGTCTTTATGGTCTTTATGGTCTTTTCCTTTGTCCTTTTCATCTTTCTTTTCTTTCTCTTCTCTCCCAAATGCTAAGAATGGCAACGAGATGTCAGAATACAGGGAAAGAGTAAGTAAATCTGCTGGACACTCACAGATCAGGAAAGCAGAGCAGCAGGGGAGTAAACTATCATATGCCTTGATTTCCCATCAAGGGCATTTTCAAAGGCTTTTTCAATGCAAGGTAACTTTTTCCAGCATATTATATGTTGCAGTGCTGAATAGCTACTCAGACTTGCTCCTTTCCACAGGAAGGGTAGGTTTCAGGGGAAAGCTTTGATGGCAAAAGAGTAACAAGGATGATTGATTTGTTAGATTTTTTAAACTATTGCTTGTGGAAAACAGGCTAGTGGCAGTTGTTGAAATGAAAAAAAAAATCTTTGAATGAAAAAGAAGTTTTCCCTAAGGCTTCTAGTTAGGGCCAGTGTTAGGTAGTTGTGCAAAATCATTATTATTTTCAGGAATGCTTTCTTCACATGCAATACAATCTCATGCATTAGGATAGCTTTACAAAACATACAGAACAAGAAGTGAGCAACAGTACTGTTTTAAGGGCCACAGTCCCCTATTTCCATTACATTACAATTTATACTACACTGGAGGAGACCAGTCTGGTGGAGAACATGCCAGAGGGCATTCCTGTCTTCCAACACTGATTCTGCTTCCCCATCATTCCATCTGAGAGGATCATGTCATTCTACCTAACAAAGAGCCAGCTCTGAAATTGGCATATGAAAGGCATTCAGTACCATAAACTATGTAGCAGAAATTATCTCAGAGGTCCTTATTGTCTAGAGTAACTCCTAATGCAAAGGCTAGAGTTAAGTAACCATGCTTAATCAAGAAAAGCAAGCAGGAACTTCGTAAAGCTTGGCTTATCTAAACTGAGCATGAAAGCCCTGCATGGCTTTATGACTCAGGGCTAGATATCTCTGTAACCACTTGTCCTGAGTAGAATATGCCCATCTGGTAAGATCTGGGACAGAGGGCTTGTAGAAAGTCCCAACACTAAAGGAAGGCCGTCTTTACATACCCTTGAGCCTTCTGATTGGAACCACTTACCTCCTGGATATCGAGAGGCCCTTTCCCCAAGAAAGAGAGCAGAGAGCAGTAAAAAGATGGATCTACAGAAAGGTATTTCATGAGTCTATAGATCACCCTACTCCTTATTTATTTATTTATTTATTTATTTATTTATTTAAAACATTTGTATAGCCACCCATCTTAAAACAACTCTGAGCGGCTTACAACCAATAAAACAATTAAAAACAATATAAACAATATAGAACCAATAGCAATAAAACTAAAAACAGAAAAACCAGAAGCCACACTTCTCTGATGAACTCATATTTCCATCCCATCCTGACCTTGCCCAATGCCTGGGGGAACAGCCAGGTTTTAAGTGCTCTCTGGGAAGATGGAAGGGTAGGGGCCTGTCAGATCACGGTAGGGGGGGGGTGCTCCATAGGACAGGGGCTGCAATGGAAAATGCAATCTTCCAAGGACTCACAAGATGGCATTGTTTAAGGAAAGGGACCTGGAGCATGCCCACCTTATCTGCTCTGGTGGGACAGACAGATGTCCTCAGGGAGAGGCAGTCCCAGAGATAACCTGTTCCCCTGCCATGTAGAGCTTTAAATCACCAGCACCTTGAATTGCACCCAGAGGAGAACTGGGAGCCAGTGCCGCTTGTACAACAGGGATGTAATACGAATGAACCTAGAGGTGCCCAACATTGTGTGCACTGCTGCATTCTGGACCAGTTGTAACTCCCAGGTGGTCTTCAAGGGTATGTAGATCACATTCCGGTAATCCAAATGAGAAGTGACCAAGGCATGAGTTACTGTGATCAAGGCCTCCCAGTCCAGGAAAGGGCACAACTGATGCACAAGACAAATCTGTGCAAAGCCCCCCTCCCGCCCCAGTCACAGTAGTTCATCACATTGATTGGTTATTGTTGTATTAATTGGTTTTGGTTTTTAATCCTATTATATTAAACCTGTGAGACATTTAGGATTAATAGAGTGGCATATAAGTTTAAGGAATAAATAAATAATATAAAAATTAAACTGTTAACAAGGACAAATTCCATTCTTTGTTTTGTTTTGTTTTTCCCCAAGGACCCTGGATCAGAAATGAAAAGGAACTAGTAGAACAGAAGTCAATCTGTTGTAAAAAGTAAATTATCAGCAGGGCCATAAAGGCAGATATAATCGGATCTTCATCTCTCACTTTTTGTTGGTTGGTTGGTTTGATTTGTGAATATCATTACTTTTTATACTGAGGTTGGGGTTATTTTATACAGAATAAATTTACACCTCACTTTCTCTAAGAACCAATTCCAGTGCCTATCAGTCTGCACATTCTGGGATATCATATCAATAAAAATTTTTAAAAAACAAACAGGGTCTCAAAAATGGTGGGGCAATGTATTCATGTATATATTTGTGGGACTCTCTGGATACATAAAAGACACCCCTATTTTATCCCTGATTTTGTGGAAAGAAAAAAAATGGGTGAAATGATGGGGAAAAATGGGAAGGTTATAAATCAATGCAGAACACAGGACAATAAGATCAGTGAATCAAAAGTAAGGTGACTATTTAACCTTTACCATTATTACTCTATTATCTGTTAATTGCTGAAAATCAGTGTAATTATTAACTTTGTTTTTATCTGCAAAGAAATTGTAGCATTCCAATGAGGAAACTAAGTTTCTACTGAAAGTAGTATCTTTAGCTAATGATTTGGGAAGAATGTTGAAACTAGGTTGTCTGTAAAAAAACAAAGTGTAATGCACAACTAAAATGAAGAAAATAATTACCTTCTGCAAAAGACAAGAGAATAGAAGATGAGCTCTGAGCAGAAATCTGTGTGGGACTCCCAAGATTATGTGCCACAGAAATAGCTCAAATGGGATTGGAAGGAATTGAGGAATTCAAGTGTGAAAACTCCCACTGAATAACAATGCTATTTTTACTCTTTAGAAACATTCGCATTATCAACTGCACATTTTCAGAATGCCATATACTAGCTCATACACAGCTAGATATACAAAATCTGAGGCAAGTCAAAACAAATTAAATTCAGTGTCAGTACTAAGAAATACAGGGATTATTTATTTATTTATTTATTTATTTATTTATTTATTTATTTATTAACATCTTATATGATACAACAAACACCTAAAGTGATTTGTTTTGTTTCCTTTTTTTTTTCCAAAGGAAAAAAGGGACCTACCTTTTAAGATTGAAGACATTGTTCAGTAACAATACAGTTGTTCCAAAATATATAATTTGTTAATGTTCCAGCCTAAGTTTCTTAGGCCAGGTCAGTGTATATTAAATTGTATCTAAGCAGGACTGGAAGCTACCTAGGATAAAAGGAGTGAAAAGGATTATGGACTCATTTTTATCTATAAAGAAGATGCAAAGGCTAAAAATTCTTGACATGAAGTTAACATAGAGTACGTAGAGAAAGAATTCACAAGACTTGTTTTAGAAGAGCAGATAATTGAAACCATCAGATTTCCAAACCCCGGTGTAAGAATCTGGTTTCACCAGTTTCCATTTGGCCTCACCCATTTTCAGCCCCATAACAAACAACACAGGCAATTTGGGCAGGTTTTCTACGTAGATAATTCAAGTACAATAAATAGGTTTCTCTAATTTTGAGACCTTAACAGAAAGAGTTTGGATTCCCTCTCACCTCTCTTAAGGTTCAATCAACCACTGCGCAGCTACTCAAGCACGCACACCGCTACTCCAAATTCACGAACTTGCATGAGCACACAACCCCCACTCATGCGTCGAATGCAAATTTGGCAAGCCCGAACATTGATTTCTCCCACGGACTTGCTCTTCCTTGGTTTTAACCCATTACTGAAACAATTACTTGCTCTCCTGAAGGCCGAAGAGCTTAAAAGTCAAAGCAAAACACTTTCACTCTGATTCACATAGAACCCAGTCCCACTCAAGAGGCAATCCTCCAAAGTACCTTCTATAATGCCAGCTGGGGTAGAACAAATCATTCACGGGAAAGGGAGAAAGGTACAGTATACGAGAAAGCCCTCTCACCTGATGAAGTGGAAAGAGAAGCAAGCTCTCCAATGCAGTCTTAACTCGCAGAAGTGTCACTCCCGCTGCTGTGATTCCTCCCCTTTTGTGACCTAGGAAAGAAGAAAAACTGGTTCTAGCCAGCACCAAGCTTGTAAGTCCCACCTGGAATGAATGGGCAGTATGTATGCAGTTGCTCAGACTAACTGCACTCTTAAATCCTGATTATTCTGGCCAGTTTTGACAGGCCTGGGTGTCAGATGGGTTGTCTTTATTTCTCTATCTTACCCTACAAATGGCTATCAAATCCTATAATCTCATTGAGAATAATTCAGTGTAGTATCTATGATGGAGCACAGTGCACTGACCAAGAACTTGTCAAATGCATTATACCAAAAACTGCCTAAATTATTTTAGTGTCTAAGGGAAAAGTGCCTCTTCCTGGGGTAATATATAATAGTATCATTCATAATTATAGCTTCAGTTATGATTGTCATGCTCCTTCATGACACCTAAATTCACACTCTATTTGCTTTATACAATGTGACCAAAATAGTCTTTTCTCAAAACTGGGTAGGTAGGTAGATGATAGGTAGAATAGATAGATAGATAGATAGATAGATAGATAGATAGATAGATAGATAGATAGATAATTTGGGAAAGTAGTAGTATAACCTTCTCTGCCATTGCCCTTTGGAATATTCTCCAAATAGGTGCGGCAGGCCCCTACCCTCCCAGCTTTCCAGTAAGGATTAAAGACCTGGCTCTGCCAGCTTGCGTGGGGTGACAACAACCTTACCCAATCCTGGGGGTGGCTGACGCCTTGATGACACTCCCTGACTGACTGCTAATTTTATATCTATTCTTGGAACTATTTATTTCCTATTTATTGTATATTGTAATTTTAATTGATTTTAACTGTTTTGTAAACAAATTTGACAAATAAATAAATAAATATCCCGAAGAGTTCTTTCACTCACCATTCTACTTTTCCCCTTCCTTTTTTGCAAGAGATTTGCCCAAGAAAGAGAGACAATAGCAGGGAGGTTACTTGATTGATCAAGTGATGAGATTACGTAAATCTCAGCAATCATTCAAAATCAGGAAGAGTTAGAAGTTAAATAATTTCTGCGCACACATCTTGAAAGCAACTGGGTTTGTAACTGAGATTCTTCCACAGCAGCAAGAGTTCCATTGAGTTTAGAGTCAGTATTGAAAAAATGTTGTGAAGATGTCTAAAATAGCCTACATGTATGTGCAAAGTTACAGATCAAATTCAGAGCAGAGCAGGTTTTCTGGAGTAAATGATGATCAGTTTCTTACATAACTACATAATGATTGATCAGATTAACATTCCAAATTAAGCTATTTATTTTTAGCAGAAGTGCTTGAAGGGTGCTTCATACTATAAATAAGGAATAATACAATAATTGAGAACCAGTTCACACTTCTGTAGAATGATTGGTGTGAAAATAAAGTATAAATAGGAAAAGCAGCCCATTAAACATTAGAATTATGTTGTTTTGTGAGAATGAAACCAATCATTTCCCAGAGCTGCTTTTCAACCCATTTTTTCAACAACAACAAAAAAAAGTCCCAACGAATAACCATGGTTCACAGTTGGCTTTCATTTTCAGTATTAAAATTGGCATGTCCAACATGCCAATGAGGGGGTTAGAAAGCATTGCTGCTTATTCTGTCCAGAGCAAAGGTTGCCAAAAGCCAAGATGGAGAATGATGATCATGCTGTAGCATATGTTTCAAGTGGGCAACCTGTGCCTCATTTGCTCTAGCAAATATTGCTATAATAATTTGTGCAACTGGCCTCTTCTACTACAATCTGTTCTGCTTTGCCAGATCTATTTCATAAGCCCCATTTAATTGTACTGCAATCTCCCTTTTGTTTTTAAGCAGTTATTTGAACAAGAAGTGATGGGCTTTCTCTTTTCTCATTCCTTTAATACAGAATTATACAAATAAAAAGATGGTTTAAGGTCATTCGGTTCAACCCTTGCTCAGTGTAATATCCTTGATGCAGCCACAGGATCTTAGGTTTCTTTGGCTTGCAAACAATTCCCTTAGATAAAAAGTTGTTTTCTCAGTTTTATATAATCCAAACTTAAGTTAGTGCTACTGCAAGTAGTGCTATGGGCAAGTAGTGTAAAAACCATGTGAGGATTTCATTGTAAGTATCACTCATCTCACCCCTTTCTAAACCTTCTGGAAGATGATCTATAGGCTCTAAAGCACTGTTTTTCAAGCTTAAGAAGTGTGGACATCAACTCCCAGAATTCCCCAGCTGGGAGGAATTCTGGGAGTTGAAGTCTACACCTCTTAAAGTTGCCAAGCTTGGAAAATACTGCTCCGAAGCCTTATATCATAAGAAAAATAGTGCAGACAACAGAAACAATGCAGGCTAATAAAAATGGCAAGAGATTAAACTAGGCATAGGTAGTGAAGACATAATCCAGTTAAATTTAATTACATGTACTCAGCATTTACAACATCTATATTTCCAAGAAAGTATGCTTACTTGGGAGCACATTTAGACTTGATTCCAAAATCAAAAAATGGGGCATAGGAGTGCATAACAAGGTGCTTCAGGTTTCTTTTTCTTCTTCTTTTTTTTCATTTAAGTTTAATCAAAATATTCTTAAAAATCCAAATCTGTAGCCATTCCATTGGTTGCGACAGGATTTGGCTGATCAGCTTGTCACCCGAGTCTGACGCTGGAGGTGGAGAGAGAGTGACTGCCCAAAGTCACCCAGCCGGCTTTCATGCCTAAGGCAGGACTAGAACTCTGAGTCTCCTGCTTTCTAGCCTGGAGCCTTAACCACTAGACCAAACTGGCTCTATAAATCCACTACATTTCTCATTTTACTTTCATGCCATTTTTATGAATTGGAAGTACCATTTCTCTCTAGTCTATAACCAGACTTCTCAATTCTACAACCGGGTGCAAAATATTTCATATGATCTATGATGGGTTTGAAAAGATCTAAAAATGGAACGAGGGCTGGGCAACTGTTGGAGAGAATGTGCAATTGTTCCATTTGAACAGAGAGCTATTTTCTTTTATTAGAGTAAAGCAATATGGTGGTCTGCATTATTGAAAGTACTAACTTCACACAGGTAGAGGAACAAAATGCATATACTGTACGTATATTCACCACTTCTGCCATCACTCCCACTACCTTGAACCAATTCAGATTTCTTCCATACAAGAATAAGCAATAAAATGTGTGAAAGCAGGTTATGTCGTGTTATTTACTTACTTTACATATAAATGGGTGTGAGGAATGAACAGTAAAGCAGCCATTTAAGGATGACCTAAAGTTATCCAGAACTGAGAAATTCCAAATTGAATATGAAAAGCACCCAAATGATATATCCAAATAAAATAAGAAAACAGCAAATGAATTTTATCTGATTGAGCAATGACACAATGTGGGACAAAAGCTGTTACGTATATTCCAAGTTTATTGATGGTGATTAAACCAAATATCTTTGCTGTCATAGTGGGAGGTTCACTGAATATATCAGCTCAGTGCAGCTTTGATGGCTGGTGTGGGTCTTCTGGGCTTAGGAAACAAGACTTCAAGACCACGGCCACACAGCCCGGAAGACCCACACCAGCTATTGTATGCCGGCCGTGAAAGCCTTCGACAATACATCAGTGCAGCTTTATTTATCAAAAAAGGCAGCTTCAGCATTAAGCATCAATATGAAAAGGATTGAAAATAAAACCAATTTATTGAATTCTGATGTATAACAGGATAAATCTCGATTTGGAATATTTCATTTAATGCTGGACATGCCATTCCAAATGGAGAAAAAAACTATGAATAACAAAGGTAAAAAAAGGTAAGTTATTTTACTAAAAGCATTTTGCTCTATCCAGATTTAATGTTCTAAAGAAATGACGCACCACATTGCTACCATTAAAAAAAAAAGCAGATGTTTAATAGGACTTAGAAATAAATTGCATTCTATAATATTTTAATGTATTGTTTGGATTCCTGTTGTCTCTTCAAAAAAGTACAGTTCAGCAAGTTTCAGAAGTTTGCACACTGGATATTTGTTGCAGATTTTTGTCCTTAAAGTTATTTAAGCTTCTTGGGACACTCTTTCTTTCCACTTTTTGGTAATTTAACAGTAAACTGGTCAGTTTTGTTGTCATGCTTAGGTATTGTTAGTAAGGACTCAAAGAGAAGCCAACTACTTCTACAAAATTCTGATCACAGGCTTCACAAACCCATACACATTCTAATTTCTCTTGCCATATCTTCATCCATGGTACTAACAGATTGTAGTCTCTTTCAAAATGCTATAGCCTTTGGGAAGCTTCTCAAAGGTTATATAGTATAATATTGTGGAAACCCTCTGACCTTGGTGGAGATTGAGGGTCTATCTCAGGAAGCCTTCCATATGGAAAATTCACCATGCAAATGGTGGGATGGAAGGAAACCATGGACCCACAACTTCGTGGGTCCCTGGCATGCTCTAAGAAAGAGAAAAAAAATTATCCCAGCCATGCAGTGGATATACTGCTTTCTACTTTCTAGAAAGAAATGGAAAGGGCAAAGGAAAAAGCAAAAGAAACTGAACAAGAAAAGCAGAAAAGCTTCTCCAACCTCCGCACCTCAGGCACTGTAAGTCAAGATTTAATGGGACATGGAAGTGGTAATTCCTCATCCAATCACTGTACCCTGGTGAACCCCCAAAGGATTATCTGCTGCCACTGCTTCTTCTGAAGGATCAATAATGTTCAACAGAAAAGCTTTTGAGATGGGATGTGTGAGTAATCTTTTGTTGACCTGAACATGGATAATTGTAGGTATCCTATGGTCAACCTATTTAACAAGCAGTTTTTTCCTTATTACATCACAAAACATTTATTCTCAGTAGACAATATAGTGCATATACATATTCAAAATAGATTCCTTGCTAGAAATTAAACTATCTAAAAAAGCATACTTTATTTGTACAGAAAGGATTTTTTTGCTCTGATGAATATATATATACACGCATACACACACACACACACACACACACAC